TATATATATATATATATATATATATATATATATATTTGGCATACAATACTCGTTATTGTATCGACAGCTCGCATAAACAACTGCATAAACGTTGACATCGTTCTTTCTCGTGCAATATTTTTCCTTCCGCTCTCGTCTCCTCGATTATCGTCGAGGTAATAAAACGTGCTCATTTTAAATGGAACGAAATTCACTTGAAATTCATTTCGATCGAAAGTCACAGTTCTCCACGATTAATTCGACGACGACGACGACGAGGACGAGGACGACACGACACAACGATTCGAGAAACACCGGAAGTTGCCGCGATCGTACACGTAACGCGCGATTTTATCTTTTGCGCCGCGGCAAACTGATCCATTAACCTGGAACGCGAAACCTATACCTTTTTTCCGTCTCCGTCTCGTACGACTCTTCGATATCGTCGAATATGCGCAAAATACGGATCGAAACAAAGATTAAACGCGTTAAATTGATCTAACACGGTTAAATTGATTTATTGTTTATTATGCGCGCGCAACGTACAGTATGAATGCATGTTGCGTGGAACGACGAGCGTGTCCTTACAGGAAGCGAACGGTACATAAAACTCTCGTTGTTTAACTCTCGACGATTCGTCGATCGTAGGAATATTTGTTTCGTTAAAGAAAAATGATGATAATCGTTTGCTAATTGTTTTACAGAATGGTGGTGTACAAAAGGCGGCATTATTACGTACCGGGGCCGTCCACGATGCCGAACAAGAGAAAAGTAATATCGCCGAGTGGGAATCTTTACCGAAAGAGGATCGCTTACACCGAGCTCAAGGACATGAACAACTATTGACGACCGTTGCTCTTTTAGAGAGCCCAAGCTTCAAGTGCGAAGCGACCGTTGAAGCGCGATAATGGCACACGAGGGGCGAGACGAAGAGAGGACATGTAAACAAACACTTGGTCGAACTTGCTTCTCGTTATTATTACTTCAACTGCCGTGATCGCGATCATCGGTCGTGAATCGACCAAACACTGTGCAAAACTCGCCCGATATTTTGCTCTCGCGCAATTCGATCGTGCACTAACCGCGTGTATACCACCACCACCACCACTACCACCACCACCAGTACCATCACTACTATTACTACTACTATTTAGTAGAATTTTTCCACTCGCGAACGATTATTCTCTTCGAATGATCGCGATTCGCGCGGGTTCCCCAGACGTCTCTTTTTTTTTTTTTTTTTTTTTTTTCTTCGTTTTCGATAAATCGATTGTACGCGTTTTCGATTAGCGAGGAAGCGGGGAAGGTGATACGGTGAAACGGCGACACGGTGATACACGGTACCGACTCGTTCCTATTGATCGTCGTGTTTTGAACCGACGACAGCTTCCTTCTTCCCTCCCTAACTTTCGGAAACACGCGCGGCANCCTCCCCCCTCCACCTCGACGCATCCGGCCTAATCACACCTGATCACATTTTTCTCCACTGCGATCGCGTGCTGGACGACACCGATCGAAATCTCGATATCGAGTTCAACGATTAGAAGAGAGAAGGATTAGCGGACGATCGAGGAAATCGATAATAATCTCGTAGCAACGAGATCGCGCTTTTTACGTCGCGTTGTGTATGGACGAGCGATCGTCGTTTAAATGACCGATCGTCGATTCGAGATGTATAGGTAACAAATTTTCGATAAAAATCTTGTATTTTTTCGGATATTTTTGTATAAGATAAATCCGTTTAACCGCTTCCGCGATTTAGTCAAAATCGACACTGACGATGGCGCACCGTTCGCCGTCTCGTAATATAATTCTCCTTTGTTCGTCGATACGAGGAAACGACTCTTTATATAATTATCCGTATTCGCGGACGATTGCGGGAATAAAATAAGTAAGGGGAAAAAAAAAAAAAATGGAGGATCGAACGGTTCGCCGATCGTTGATCAACGAGCAAACATTTGCGTTTTTCATGATTTTTCGACAATGTTCGAAGCACCGTTACTTTTATCGTGGACAATGCGAGATACGTACGTATAAATATAGATAAATATAGTTAGTTAATTAGATAGATAAATGAATAGATTAGTTAGAGAATTTTGTGTTACAAATGTGAACGAATACGCGCCGTTCGTTTTGCATTGAAAGCGAATCAATTAAGTAATAAATAATGGTCGGTAGAGAATCAATATCGCGGTATTTCGTTGAACGCTACGAATGATGAAATTTGAACCTGGATTACGTCCAGAGGACGAAAACGGTACGCTCAAATACAAGTTTCTCGTTATCTACAAAATATCATTTCTATGTATTCGTATGCGTATCCCGAAATCTTTATGCGAGGTCACGATATCATCTGTTGTGTACATATATATATATATATATGTGTGTATATATATATATATTGCGATCAAATTAATTTGTTATTTTGACGTTTTCATCAACGATGATAGAAACTCTAGTTATCTCGTTCGTGCAGGATATCATTCGCTGTTATTTTTCAGCCAATGAAACGGGCGCCAATTTTGACAAGCAGGATCTTAGAGAAAACTGTCGCCGCGATTTGT